ATATATCTTATACTTAACACTATGTAATAATTCTGTGTGCATAAAAAAAGGAATTCACATCAAACACCTATACCTCTTGTGCGAAGAGTTGCCAGTTAGAGTATTGAGTATATATAGTCCTAGAACACCGAGTGACTCCGTGACTCTGGTGAGGTGCGTGACAGCCGCTGCACGATGAGTGACCCCGAGACGGAATACCAAAATGACCCCAGGACGGCTTGCAAATATGGTGAATCGTGCTATCAGAAGAACCCTCAGCACCACAGTCGATTCAAGCACCCGCCCAAGAGGAAACTGGAATGCACTGAAAGCGAAACGGAAGTGAGTTTGAAAGGAAGAAAAACCGAAAGTCTCTCCATGACCATGTTCTGACTCTTCCCGTAGTTTTAGGAAAGTTTTTTTTTTTCTCAAGATATTGGAAGCGATAGACAATAGGCAGTTGTGTGATGACTTGTTTACTATTATTATGAAATGATGGTATTATTGCACTTTTACAAATATTTCAACTGTACCTGCATTGTAACATTTACCTAAAGTAGAGAAAATGAGGCATTACTTTGGAGAACTTTCACCTGCCCTTTATATCACTTTGTAAACTGTTCCCTAAATACAGTCAGCCAGGCCACCATTCTCCCATGACACTTTTTATTGATGTTATGACAGGACCTTTGTTCCAGAGAAACTAAAAGAATTGCTCTGTAAGGAAGCCACAGTACAGTTCACTGGCCCCAACCATGTCAGTTGATGTGTAATGCCTTATTTATGATCTTTGGTTCAAGAAATAATCAGCAGACACAGAAGGTAATGGCACAGATAAAGGAAAAAGAATGCTGAAAGTTGAAAAGGTTAATCAGTTAATCTTTATGGTATTGTCACACAAAGCTAGGGCAAATTGGAGATGATATTCTTGTAGAGGAAAAATTTTTGCAATCGTTGGTACAAGAAATAATCTGAATTGTAATCGGAAAATGCAATTCACAGTTTCAGCTTTATTGTGCCATGTCCAAGACCAAACTCGTCCACATACTTTATTGGAGGATAGATCACGGCCTGGTTCCATATTTGACAACAAATCAAAAGTGTTTTCACTGGAGTTGACTTCCTGTTAGTAGGAATATGAAATACAGTAGCAAACATAGTTAACTATTGAGAAGTTATGTTATTTTATATTGCATTATACTGTGTTGTTTCTGGTTTTGCTCTCTTTTTCATACTTTTGGGCAAGAACATTCTAGTAAGGGAATAAGTGAATATAATTTGATTTTTCTTCTTGCAATAGTTATTATTATTAATATTATTATTGTCACTGTCATTATTATTTTATTTTTAATTAGTGTTGTTTTTGCTGCTATTATTATTATCATCATCATCATCATCATCATCATCATCATTATTTATTGTTATTATTTTGCTTTTAATATTATCATTATCATTATTAAATCACTATTGTTTTTTGTTTATTATTATTAGTAGTAGTAGTAGTATTGTTTTGTTATTGTCATTGTCATTATCCTTATCCTTATTGCTGTTGCTATTATTATTACCACTATCATCATTTATTGATCATTATTGAATTTGTTTTTATTTTAATTTCTGTTTTATCCAGTTTTGCATTCACACATTCTTTAGCCTCTAAAAATGTATATTTTATTCATTATTCCAGGATCTAGTTCCTAAAGGGAAGAAATGCAAAACAGATGATAATGAAGAAAATGATTCTGACTCGGGAGACAATTTTGAAGTTCCTTCCATTGACGAAGATGAAAACAAAGCAAACACTAGCCAGCCAGAGGGTGAGAGCTTAGTTTTTTATATGCTTATTTATTTGATTGTATTAAGTTATCTTTATTACAAATATATATTTTTGGGTGTGAGTTTGAGTGAGAGTAAGAGAGCATGGGTGAGAGTAAGAGAGCGTGGGTGAGAGTAAGAGAGCATGGGTGAGAGTAAGAGAGCGTGGGTGAGAGTAAGAGAGCGTGGGTGAGAGTAAGAGAGCATGGGTGAGAGTAAGAGAGCGTGGATGAGAGTAAGAGAGCGTGGGTGAGAGTAAGAGAGCGTGGGTGAGAGTAAGAGAGCATGGGTGAGAGTAAGAGAGCGTGGATGAGAGTAAGAGAGCGTGGGTGAGAGTAAGAGAGCGTGGGTGAGAGTAAGAGAGCATGGGTGAGAGTAAGAGAGCGTGGGTGAGAGTAAGAGAGCGTGGGTGAGAGTAAGAGAGCGTGGGTGAGAGTAAGAGAGCGTGGGTGAGAGTAAGAGAGCGTGGGTGAGAGTAAGAGAGCGTGGGTGAGAGTAAGAGAGCGTGGGTGAGAGTAAGAGAGCGTGGGTGAGAGTAAGAGAGCGTGGGTGAGAGTAAGAGAGCGTGGGTGAGAGTAAGAGAGGGTGGGTGAGAGTAAGAGAGCGTGGGTGAGAGTAAGAGAGCGTGGGTGAGAGTAAGAGAGCGTGGGTGAGAGTAAGAGAGCGTGGGTGAGAGTAAGAGAGCGTGGGTGAGAGTAAGAGAGCGTGG